AAAGAGTCTTTTGGGTAGATGCCGGTTATGACAGAGTGGAATCGGTCGACTACAATGGTAACAACAGGACACTGCTTTTTGAGATGCGTAGCCTACATCCATTCGGAGTGGCGTTGATCCCTCCTTTCTTGTTCTTTACTGACTGGGTGACAGACAGGGAGCTGCACATGCTGGACGCTACAACCGGAGATTTACTCAAAAGTTTCAGTATTAATGGTGGGCGACCTATGGGAATTGTTGCATACGACAGTGGGCGACAACCAGCAGGTAATCTTGAGGGGGCTATCAGCTAGTCATGAATTAGGTTCCCCTTATCAAATACTGTTAGTAATCAATCATGAAAGTCAGAAGGATACTGACAAGGTCCTGGACGTTATTTTAGTGTTGAGTCTCAGTGCATTTGATAAAGAGGATATCAAATGGCAGCTAACAACCTTTTCATTGTGGTGTCTGCCATGAGTGAGGACACTAAAAAAATATTTTCCACTCGTGAAGAGCTGATGTACATTTTAACAACATTTTCCCACTTTCGACCCAAAAGAAAAACTTGCAAACTCAAAGGTATATTGTAAACAAATCCATCATTAAACAGCCGTACTTTTGACATATAGCATTTCAATGATTACATGTCGTCGTTCTTTTCTGTTCACACTTGTCATGATCAATCGCCGAAATTTGCATTCCTGGTCAGAATTTGGACTAAAGTGTATGAGGAAGTGGAAGTTAAAATAGTCAGTGGTGTCGTCAAGTGTGCAGCTTTTTAAAAAAAAGTTTGGTCGACAGTATAAACTGCACGCTTTTACGTTAAAAATTGTTTCTTTCTTAAGCTTCAGGTCCTTGCTCTGTAAACAATGGAGGATGCAGTCATTTCTGTGTTCCTAAGGCGTCCAACCATGAATGCGTGTGTCCTACGGGCCTAGCAGTAAAGCAAGATGGAAAGACGTGTGAAGAAAGTAAGGAAACTGTTTATTGATTGCCGGAGATGACGCATAGATACTGACAAAGCTGTCATCTCTTTCAAGTAAAATGTAATACTACTTGCCTGCTTGTAATTTTGCAATTCTAATAACGGTCAGATTTAGAGATGCAACGAATACCTGAGAATACCTCATGTGAATATATAAACAGATACATTTTTCCTCCGCCCTACCACCGGCGGACATGCATGCCACCTTTAAAGCCAGCCTTAAGATTCCAAAAAACAACGAGTAATGCATTGTCGCTATATGCATTCTTTGTTCGAGAAATCAATAATACATTGAGGGTTATGACAACCTGCTGCATGGAGATGAATCAATCATCCTCCCTACAAAGAGTCTCTCATTGACAACAAACGCTGTTTTGATTACAATTGCAGAGGTAAAGAGGTTCATTCTTTTTGCTGACGCCGACGACAAATCAACAAATATCATTTCACTGGATGTAAGCTACTTCGTCGCTCAAACACTATTCAACCATGTAGGAAATCAGCGTCCTATCGCTTTGGACTATGACCCTGTCGAAGATCGCGTGTACTGGTCGGATGTTGCTCAAGGTCTAATCGTCAGCGCTTTTACCAATGCAACCTCATTGAAGATCCTTTTTCGTTGTAATATCCTAAGCCCCGAGGGTTTAGTAATTGATCATGTAGCACGGAACATTTACTGGACCGATACTGGAACTAATAGAATTGAAGTAGCGCGTCTTGACGGATCAGGTAGGAAAGAATTGATCAATACTGGACTTGATGAACCAAGAGCCATTATACTGGATGAAAGAAATGGGCAAGTAACGATTTTTTTTAAAACTGAAATGTTTTTGTATCCGCTGGTGAACGCGTTGTAGCGGAAACAGAAAAGAAGTATCACAAGTAGTAAACGTAATCTTTCAGT